AATCTGCTCCACTGACGCCCCTCGCCGATAGACAGGTACACTCCGATGTATATACTTTTTTATTCAAATATACGAGGATGATATTTTCACTTTTATTTGGTATGCATTTGTAGCAACAGCATGATAACATTTATTTGTTTTTATTTGCGTTTTATATTCATATTGATAATTCACGTTTTGTCTTGGATAATAAAGCACGGTTATGCATAATTGTATGCATAATAAATATTCACTATCACTGTATGAGGTAAGAATCAACAGCTTTTTATCACATTTACACAACACTTTATGAATACAAGTTATGAACAAATCTTAAATATGTTAGGGAATGTGTTTACTTTTTTAGTTTTGATTTTGAGCAGCAAATTTGGAGTTACATATTGGTGCTCACCAGGAATGCATAGGCAAAATTGCACAAATTTTCACTTGAAAGAATAGTGGCGATCTTGGGATTTTTTTCTGTTCAATTTTCAAACTGTGTAAATTTAATACACTTCATCTTCAGCATGTTTAGTGCCACTTTTGTAAGTAACCACGCCCCCGTCCAGGCCACGCCCCTTCCGCTTTTTTCATCACTCGCCATTGCCATGTATGCATCCCGCCTCTTCCAAGACACAGAACGATATTTATCTGGTAGTCTGATCGCGCGGCCGTCCTGGGACAGAAGAAGTCGTGTAGTTTGACAAGGTCATTAGCTTAACATAATAATGGTTAACCCTGAAATTCTTAAACGTCGTATACGCTATCAGAGATCTATCGCTTCAATTTACTTCCACAACGTAAATTACTCTTTTCTGGACTTTAGCGCCATCTAGCAGCATTTTAGAGAATTTACTAACGAGTCACTCGATTTCGGATGTTTTTGATACGATTGCTGAGCCATTTTTTGTTTTTGACCTGAGTTGTGCCCATAAATTTGAGTAACAATTGGGAGAGTCTGGCAGCAAACTTCACAACAGACAGCAGGTTGGTAGACAGTGAACAATTCTTCAAATAAGGTTTCAAATGCTTGCTTCAAGCTGTTTGTTGCCACTCACTAAAAGAGTCATTGTGCTGGAGTTTACTGAGCATTTTAAACCCTTTTCTTGTAAACAGTCATCAGTCACTATATTGCAGTTCACTTGTTGTGTGTTTAATGCATCACACGTTTTTTCTTGTGCAGTGTAGGACTGCTATGTATATTAAAATGAGAGGAGTTATGCACCGCTAAGTCAAAAACTGAAAGGAAATGACTCAAAGGAAAGTTGTCATTGTGATTTTTACATGTGGTGAATCTGTGACATACAGGCCAGCATTCTCACATTGCCAGGGCATTTCTTTCACCCATTCGGCCAGCGTACTTTAAAGCGTACTTTAAAGGTAGTGTAATTTAATTACAAATACACTGTCGCCATTCATTTGACATTAGAATCTTCTCCAGCCAATGAATAATTTCTGCCGCCTTAATGGAAAGGGAAGCAAAATTTACCGGTTTAGATTTGTAATGATAATGCTATAAAACTCCCGAGCTTTCCCTGAGAGGCAAAGGTCCCCGCACATCTTCCAGGTTTGGATTCTGGCTCGTGTATTTACGCATGAGGACCCCCCACCCTCCCATATCTGCCACTATTGTGATTTTTAAATCAGCCTAAATCCTTGTAAAAAGCAGTGTAACTTTGTCCCCGCAGCAGAGCCGCGGTATGACCCGGAGGATCAGGGGTAAAGCCTTTGAGTGGCTTGCTAATTCTTGCCAAAGACCTCATCAGCTGTCATCCCGGCTGGAATGGAGTAGAAAGCGAGGTGGGCAAAGCTTGTCCCATCTGGCGGGAAAAGAAAATACTGTAACCTCCGCTGCAATTTGGGCCATTAGTTTTGTGAAGAAAAAAAAAATATCGCTGCTACAGTTGCATTGTCATCATTCTTGTACAAACGAAATATTTTAAAATATAAAACAGATTCAATATTTTCTTTTTAGGAATGTGCAAAATCTGATGTTCCAAATCAGTTTTGCTTCTTTGGAAAAACTAAAAAGAACAATGTGGCCAGATGCAACAGTAGGGTCATTTTAGAATTGGAGGATATTTTCGCTTCAAAATTCTCGAAAAATAAACCCTGACTTCTTGGATTTTCTGCTGCACATTCATCAATAAGAGGTAATAAACTATCAAAAGCTTGGTTTGTTCATTTTAGAGTTAGGGTTACAAATTCGCACGAATGTTAGCTTTCTCATCCTTATGTAAATGAGTAAAGACATTTTTTTAATGTCTTATTCTGCATATTAAGGTTGCTATTTTAGAAAAATGTGAAAACTAGAAGAGCGGATATACCTTTGCTCTTTCCATTCTGTTGGAAAAATGTTTGATGATGTCACTTCCAGTGTATCGTGTGATGCCATGTTTTCCTCTTCTACCGTGCTAAAAAAGGTTATGGTAACATGGTTGTGTGCATTTTGTGGGACACACGTTCCATGAAGAATAATTCTTGTTTGAAATATTGTGTTTATTAAAACAAATGTTCCCACAGCTACACATGAAGCAAATGATATCTAAAAAAATGACATAAAAAAAAGTATTTAAACAGTTTTAGTTGAGATTCAAGTTGGTCAATGGGGGAGGCAAGAGAAAAAGTGAATTTTAGGTGGTATTCCAGACTTGTTTGGTATTTTAAAACTATTTTTAGCATTTCAAGCATCTTAATGTTTTTTAGATTTGGTCTCAGGGCAAGTACATTTAGTCAGAAACGGCATGTTTTAGTGTTTTGTATGTGGATTATTTAAAATTTGATGGATGGGACTTAAAATGTCCTTCAATTCTGAAATGTAACAGTTACTGATCAGTCTGAATCAATAGACAAGTGCTGGAATCTGTTTCGTTTTAGGAAACTGCAACAGTTTGAATAGTCTGAGGTTAGCAAAATATTTCACTACATACAACCGCTTAAATCTTTTGTGAGGAAAATGTGAAATCAAGTAGAAAATTGAGGTTGCACACTAATTCAAGTAAATATTCACAGGACTACTTTTCATTAAACTATATTGAAATGAGCTGAGGTGTGGAGCAGAGGTTTGTTACCAACTAAAAATAGCTTATTCAAGAATGTCATCCATCCATCCATCCATCCATCCATCCATCCATCCATCCATCCATTTTCTAATCCGTTTATCCTCACGAGGGTCATGGATGTGTAGGAGTCTATCACGGCTGTCTTTGGGCAGTAGGCGAGGTACACCCTGAACTGGTTTCCAGCCAATCGCAGGGCACACAGACAAATTTGCACTCACAATCACACCCCGGGACAATTTGGAGTGCCCGATCAACCTGCCATGCATGTTTTTGGAATGTTGAAACCACAAATCACTTATTTCGGGCCCCATGTAGTTTGAAGAATCCCAGCATGCCTTGAGGTGTCTTTTTTTGTAAATAATGAGAAGAAAAAGAATCAGAAGAAATGTTGAAAATGATAATAATTACAGGTTTGTTGTTGTCTATTTAATTATTTCCAAAAGTACTAGTATTTGTTATATGCATTCACCCACCTCGTTATTTATCAATTTTCATCAACTGTTAGATTTTATTTTGCATCATAATTCTGTAATCTATTGTGGATTACCACTTCCCTGGTTTGTTATTCAGTGTGCCACCTTGAGGCAGCTGTGTGGAACAAGCATAGTAAAAGAAAGCTTTTGTCCATCAAATAAAGCTGTCTGTCGTTTTTATTTTTTGCCGTTTGCCTTAATCTGCCATAGGAAACTCACTTTAAAGACTGACTTTTGACAATAGACAAGTGGCATATAAACGTTTCTCTCATTTTTTACAATATATATCATTATATCGCCCAGCTATAGTCTGAACACGCCATTTTGGACAATTCTATGCTTCGTTCCAGCTCTATGGGTACACTTTATGTTTTCTGGGAACCATGGGATGTCCCAATACTTACTCAAGTGCCCCGTGAATGCTTTGTAACTCCCTGTGTCAAAGACTCCATTGCCCCCTCCGTTGCCCAAACTGAGGTGTAATTCAAGATAAATTGACTCTTGCTCCATGGACTGCGACCCGAGCTCTCTATCTGTTAGCTCTAATGGAGGCCAATATATAGAGATAAGTGTGAGCTTTCCAGGAAAATCAATATCCATGTGACCCTTGAGGGTTTTTTTTTCCCGGCGAATACCCCTCCCCCCATCACAATAAGAGCCCAAAAATATTACAAAGATATAAAAATAAAGAAATCTGATGAAATCTTGATTCAATAGCCAGAAATTGTGATTATAGTTTTATTAGTGGAAGTTTCAACAAGTTTCATGTCACAGTTTTGCGTTACTGCTACATGTTGATAGTGTACATTGCTGCTCATCCAAGGACTACTGTCTAATAGGGTCACAATAAATTATGGATTTTAACCATTAGTTAAACAGGAGAACTGGCCAGGCAATCCAAAAATATTAAATACTGCAATGTTGGTTGAGATATCCCGAATCGTTAAATTACTTGCTTCAGTGAACCACTGATTCGACGTAAACGCCACTGTACAAAATCTAGTACGTTGTTGACCCCTAGTGTAAGGAGCAGGTAATGCAAGACTCATTTAAACTGCGCAGGAGGCAGCTAGCTGACTTTACACTTGGGAGTTACGCCTGTAGGATGGAGTCTGGCGACTGACTCGAGCTGTGGAGGGATTGCCGGTTGGTTTCCATGGCAACAGTGGACACCATGGAACACTCGTACGCCTGATTCCGTATAGACCACATCTCTGGTTCTTCGAGCTGGTTGTCTCCTGACGGAAGGCAATGCAAATGTATTCTGGGAGCCAGCTCGGCGTTCACGCTCACAGTCGCTTGCAGTACCTGTCTCTGATGAGCAGGATGGACATACAGCCCTCCGGGGACAACCCGGTGCTGGGAGTGTGCTTCCTTTTGGGTCATTGTTCATGACCGTGTAGACCTGCAGAGTCAAACGGTGATCAATTAAGAGAGTGTTTAAGAGAGAGAGAAAAAAATGTGACCAGGGAGCTATAGACCCTGCATATAGGTAGGTTAATATGATGACTAGAGTGCCCATGTGGAACCAGATCTTGTCTCCAGAATGGAGAGGCCAACAAAGAGCTGTATCAAAAAACTGCCTTTGAAAAAAATAGTACTCAATTATGGAAAAATGCATTACACCAGTGATAATGCCGGTGTGATTGACCCCAGTGCTAGCATAGCGTGCTAATTTGATCACCTGACATACACCGTCTTTGTTGGTCTCTAACACGTCCTCGTCTGTCGCACTGGTCTTGCTCACGTTATCCGCCGAGGGCTGCTTGCGGAAGAGTCCTCGAGTTCTTCACAGATGAAGACAAAGGAGTGTTTTAAAATTCAGGGCGCCTCTTAAATCACGTCACTACATAATAAATTAATGTGTATGGTCAAGGACTGCACAGATCCCAAGTGACAGAGATTGCGTTTGCAGTCCAGTTAAACCTGAGGTGGGGGATTTAAGTCACATGACTTGACTTGAGGCGGATTTATACTGCCAATTTTATGACACGCTTGCCTGAAAAACTATTTAACGACTTGGTATTCTTGAAACTTGACGTGATGTAATTACCTGTTTACATTTTTCAAATCAAGTACAGATCCTAAGTGCAAAGTGGCTCGTGTACGAATATACAGTATGTTGTAACTCAACAAGATTGTATGACTTGACATACGACTCACTTCACCCGAAGAAGACAGGAGGCTTATGATTTGCACATTCAGTATCTGTTTTACTGCCACCTCTGGATTATATACTTTGTCAGGAAAATCAACAAGCTTGCGAATGTAATCCTGTGAAAGAGCTGAAGCGAAAAGCGTTCCTTTAGAGATAAAGAGAGACCTCTGCCAAGACCAAACACGACTAATTTGTCTTCTCACCGTGATAAAGCAGAGTTTTTGATACAACTCATGTAGTGGTGTAGATTCCCAGAGATTTACTAAGTAAATCCTTTGCTTGTGTATTCTCTCTGAATTTGATGGTGCGTTTAGTTTCGTCAGTTTTAAAACCAGGGTGTTCTTCAGTGGCTCATATTATGCACCAATGGGCTTCTTTCTCGCACCCCATATAGCAAAGACACTGAAGCACCAAACTCAAAAAGAGTGCCCAAGTGCAGTTGCAGTCAAGTGCAGAATGCAATTTGAGGCCGAGCTATTGGCTACCACGCAGGGTCATACCTCAGTGGCTCCATTTTGTCGCAGCGAAATGGTCTATTTTGATGCGTAATTGCTGTCGAACAAGCTAAACCAAGCATGTAATTGAAAGCGTGCCACTTCCACAGACGGGTAGGGGGCACACTGTGATCAAGGTAAAGGATGCGAGTGCGAGGTGGGGGCCAGTCAAGAGTGCATGGCGAATGCAGACAGCCTCGCCAGTAAGCCGGCAAAACAACAGCAAAGCAAATCAGCTACTTAGTAACAGGTCGGGCGGAAATAAAAGGGAGCGGATGTTCCAGCTGTGTCGTCACTCAGCTACGCGCTACTCCAACATGCTGCCACATGTGGCCACCCACCCGGAGACGCTCCCATCACACGGCTCATTCGTGCCCAATTTTTAGACAGTGTATCCACGTGTTTTCTTTCATCACTGGAGAAGTCCCACATGAAGGATGCATAGTGATAATAACACAGCACTGCTTGTACAGTAATGATACATACTGTACTATGTTTCTACAATGTGTTTATTCATAATTTACCGGTATGTAAAATGAAACCTCTAAAGTTGAACACAGCTGAAATCGCTCAGTTATACATTTGTCCCGAATCCATCCAGCTACCTATTTTCTATTGCACCTTTCCTCATTAAGGTTGAGGGTGGGCTGGAGCCTATCCCAGCTGACTGTTGGTGGGTTAGTGTTTGCCGTGATTGGTCAGTTCTTCAGCCCTGAGCACCTGTGACGTCATTTTCAGTCAATGGCAAGTGCAAAATCAAGGCCCGCTTTCCTTTTTGGCACGATACTGCAAATGCTGTGCCTCAAATGACTGAAGTATGAAACTCGTCGAAGTTTATGTTTAAGAATTGATCTCAGAGGTATCGGTGGCATTGACGGCACAAACAGTATCGATCTCCATGCCACTTCATCAGGCGGAATGGCTGTCTCGACTGTGTTTGCTGTGTTTGTGTGTATTTTTGCTTGGAAATAGTCAAATAATCATTCGCGCTTGCTGTCACACACAATGACAATTTCGAGTGTTCCATTAACCTGCCTTGCATGTTATTGGAATGTGGTGGGAAACCACAGTACCAGGAGAAAAAACACGCAGGCGCGGCGAGAACATGCAAACTCCACACAGGATGGCCAAAGCCCAGAATCGAACTCTTGAAATAAACAACTTATTTAAACAGATATTTGCACCATCTTGTGATCAGATCTATGATTTATTTTTTATTTTATTTTTTTTATCTTGATGATGGGTAATTGGTTCCAAAAATCCTGATTGTTTGAAGTCAGTATAAAAAAAACATACCAGTCTCGAGACATGCCGAGACCACAACATGTTTCACTGTTTAGAGCTGCAGACAAAGTAAAATGTATGAGTCTGTTGACATAAACAGACAACGAAATGCAAATAATTTTTTTTTAGTGCATCCTGAGATAAAAAGATTACCGGTAAGTTCAGGACTATGATTTTTCACTGCAGAACATTTAATACAGTATGGAAGTGTTCTGAGTTTCAACACAAACCCTAGTGCAGTAGGAAAGGGACAGGAAAGGGTGTTTAGCCACATTTTATAGACAAACACAGGGCTCTGGCTAGCGGATATTGTAGCTGGCAGCGCACTTTTGGCAGTTGGTCAAACTTGTTAAATCATTTGAAACTGTGACTGTTGTCTGTATAATTCATTTCCTAAAAAAAGACAAGCAATAGATGTTGATCTTCACCTAAAGAGGACCTTTGGAAATGCCCTATTTCCCCCAACACACACACACACATACACACACCTGTAGCAGTAGGTGACACAGGCAGCGATGGAGAGCAGGCAAATCAGGAGCACCATGCAGGAAGCGACTACCACATTCCTGCGCCTCTCCTCCTCGGCTTGCTGAAGCTCCCACCATTCCAAGTCGCTGAACTGACAGCGCTCGCCCATGTAGCCCGCAACACAGCTGCAACAAGAGGACATAGAACAACCAATTACTTCACCATAAATACCATATTTTGCTAAGTACTGAGTGAATCTTAAGGAGTGCTGTTGGGAACCCCGCAACAATTACCTACATTTCAACCAGGATATGGGTGCATGCAAAAATTGGTGAGTTTTTGGCCACGTTGAGAACAAAGATAATAAACACAGCCTTTGCCTATAAGAAACTTATTTGAGCGTGTTGTGTTGTGTGTTTTTTTTATATGCATCTAATCACTATGGATGTGTTTGCATATACATAACTGTGATTATCCAGTGTCTCCATATTTCCTGCAACATGGATTTCATTGGCTTTATAATGCAGCTGCGGGGTTCATGGAACAATAGTGACCCCTATTGGTTGAAACCATTCATTATAACCGGGGGCCTTTCAATACGATGGAGATTTTGGATCCGTTCCAATAGATATCAAGTAAACAAGACAAAAAAGGCGAATTACTTGCAGGCATAGGACTCCACCTCAGGGAAATAGAAGCAAATGCCCTGGTACAAGCAGTATGATTCATGGGTGGAGGGGCAACTCTCCACAGAGTTTCCAGGGTGGCTGGATGTCATGGATGGCGGTGTTTTACGTATATCTAAAAGAAAAAAAAAAACCAAAAGCATGATATGATGACATGGAATGAAACTGAACACACCTTGACATATCTGCCTGTTGCCGTGGGAACCAGCCTGAAACTTGCAGAGGAAAGCGCTCTTCGTGCTTAAGCCGTCTGAGTTTTTATCACAGTCAAGTGTGGGGTTGTGGGTCTTTCAACTCTCACATTTGTCCCGCAGAAGGGGTTCAACTCCAACGTTTTGCTCTTTCGCTAGAATTATATAATACACCCACCCACACACAAGTGTCCGTCACCGGTGAAACCTTCGAGACAAGAGCAGGTTGGACTGCCGGCATTCAGGAGACACTTGGCGTTGGGACCGCATGATCCTGCTGAATAGCACTCGTGCTTGTCTGTGGGACACATCATTTACATTACTGAGTCTAACAAATAAAAGGAACAGCGTTCCATTATTTGTCATCTTTGCTGTTGTTACCAGACACCATCTTGTCTGTGAAGGTCCTCGCTTCCACTTCCGAGTCCACAGCGGCTCTGTTAGAGGGTGTGTGCGGTGTACTTTCATCATTGAGTGTTTTGTCTGTGGACTTGTTGTCTAAGCCTAACCCTGTGAAAATTGAGAGTCAAACAGTCACACTTATACTCCAGACCTTGTCTCTAACTCCAACCCTACTAGTACTTAACCTGAACAACCTGTAACCCAAGGCAACCTATGAGCCTAATTCCACTCATAACCCATCTAATACAATATGTAATCAAACCCTGCAACCCTAACACTCAACTCACCCCAAACCGTAGGCTTAACCCAAGAACCCAACCCGAATCCAATTTCTAACCCCTATAACTAACTTCCTACTCTTCTCCAATTCCTTACTCCAATCCCAACCTCTTCTCCAACTCTCAAATTGGAATCCAAACACAAACCCAAACCCTAAACTAACCCCTAATTCCAACTACAACCCAAATGAGAAGGGGTTCTAACTTTGTCGACTTTCTTGGATCAATACGGAATGAAAACAGTATTTTTCCTGGGGCATATTGGCTATCTAAATTTTGGGCTGGTGCACCCTCGTGAGTTCCAAGATATTAGCAGAAATTATACACAAGAAGTTGTATACTTCCACAATCGATACTCCATAATGTGGAAGTTGGAAGTTCCAAAAAATCTCAATGGGATTTAGAAGGAACTTCCAAATTTAACAGTGGACATTTGCCACTGGAAATGGAAACACCACCCCCAACCCCGCCCAATGGATGTGTACTTGCTGCACCAGGTTTAGCAAGTGGATGCACCACCACAACGGACGCAGGTTGGACCAGGTCGACAAGGAGACGTTGCAGTTCCCTCCCCGTCTGCTTGTACACGCTCATCAACTGCCGGCGCTCCCTGTCCACTATCCAGAGACTGTCCTCGAACACGGCCAGGTCAAAGGGCCGGCCTGGGACAAGGAAGGTCAGTGATACGGGTAACCGTCAATCTTTAGGCACAGGTTTAATAAAAAGACCTTGGCCAATTCATAACCTCACCTACTTGGTTCTCTAGCAGGATCCGACGTTTAGAACCGTCCAATGCGCAGGTCTCGACCCTGCTCTCGTCGCACCAGAACAGACGACCCTCGGCAAAGTCGACCGTCAGACCCCCAGGCGACACCAGGTTTGTGCTTGCGATCACTCTGCGGTCCATCCCATATAAAGAGCAACTTTCCACTGTAGGTTGATGTCCGATATCCGCCCAGAACAACTTCCTCCAAAAAAAAAAAAAAGAAAGAAAGAAAGAATATATGACACTTTCCGTCAGTACATAGAGATGCATTGTTTCCATTTAAGAATTTAGCAATACAGTTTGTTATCAAACTGACTTTTCCAGAGGATGAACTGTGATGGATGTTGGCTTGTCGAGTCCACTGCTCACTACAGTTGTCACGTTGAGTCCATCCAAGGTACTGCTGACCAATATTGACTGTCTGGAAGTGTCACATTTAAATCCTTTACTTTAATAATTCCCGATCCTTTACAAGTGTAATAACTGGGGACCCCGTAAAACTTACAAATGTGTTGAATCATATGCCTTCATGTAGCAGTTTAAACTGTCAATATACCACAAACGGATCCTCAAAACAGTTCAATATCATAAGTCGCTTTACAACATTCCCCTTAAAAATAAATGGTTTACAGATTATTTGCTTTTTAAAACCTTCACCAGATACAGTATGTGCATATACATGCACGTATGGCAAAGACGCACACTAGCCCAATTCCCATTTCGCAGTGGCGTGCAGTCTGCCTGTGCAGATTCCAGTCTTTTGTTTTGTTCATTCAGATTTCAGCTTCTCTACGTAATAGAAGATAAAGTTCTGTTTCACGTGTACTCAGGTGCATTTGAAAATGAATTGAAGAAGCGCGTACGCTGCCTCTCCGAACCCCCACCCACTTAGAGTTTTGTAAGAGTGTCAGCGTGAATTTCTGATTGCACCTTAGGTCACTTAGAGGCTGTATCTCTCTGAGCAGCAAAGGTTTATGTGTGTTTGTACCTGTCCTGAATGTTGCTTTTTCGTCAGGATTGATTCATGGTTGCAAAATGTTGCAGAGATGTTCGCCAGACATTCACAAAAAGTTTTAATATTTTTAAGAAGTGTTTCTTGTTGCAAAGAAATTTAGAGGATGTTATAAATTCGATGGCACTAATACTGAACCACGAGTATAAGTACTGTACTAGTGGGCAGTTTAAAAATACTTGCCCGTGCAATTGAATGGAAACTTTTTTTGGAGCTTGCTTTATCTCCATCCACTTTCTAATCTGCTTATCCTCACAAGGGTCGCATGGGTGCTGGAGCTGATCCCAGCTGTCTTTGGACAGTAGGCAGGCGGTGTACACCCTGAATGGTTGCCAGTCAATCACAGGGCACACAGAGACGAACAACCATCCACGCTCACAATCACACCTAGGGACAATTTAGAGTGTTCCATTAACCTGCAATGAATGTTTTTTGGAATGTGGGAAGAAACCAGATTACCCGGAGAAAACCCACACAGGCAACATGCAAACTCCACACAGGAAGGCCAGAGCCGGAATCGAATCTTGCACCTCTGCACCATGAGACGGACGTGCTAATCAGTCGACCATCGTGCTGCCCGCTTGCTTAATCTAATTGTCCATCTTAATAGAATTGTCCATCCACGCACCTTGTAACGGTCCAGTAAATCTTGCGATGTATCCAATCGACAGCCAGCCCATGATTCGAGTCTGGACCATTGGTAATGACTCGTCGTTTGGATCCGCCGTTCATATGGACCCGTTCAATGGTTTTCTGGGATGTGCTAGCAAAGTACACCTTGATGATTTGATGAAAGACCACATTTAGTACACTTATCTCACTTGACTGCGGCCAAATATAAAACGCATAAAAAATTGATAGCATTCAGTTACGAGATCTATCCATAGATGTCAGGGCTTGCCCACACCTAAACAGGCTCCCAGTGCGCATTCAATCACCATATCTGTACAGGATTTCTAATCTGTCATTCTAAGCGTTTTTTTCTTACGTGGTTTGACACTGGGTCATAGTCCAAAGATTCAATTGCTCCTCTGGGTTCATGCACAAGGATTTGGCCCTCAGTGCCATCACTATTTATTCTCTGCACAGCCACCAGACTGGCGACAAGCAGATATGGTGGTGGTCCTAAAACAAAACAACCAAACCAAAACAAAAAAAAAAAAAAAATAAACCCCTCAAATGATTAAATGTCCAAGCTTAAATGATCACACATAGATAAGACGTTTTAATTAACTGCTTCACAATAACTGTGTGACTCACCAGAGGCAATGCACCGCTTGCCGTCTTGGTGGAGCTGGTAGCCCGGCAGGCAATCACATCGCCACCTAGTGGGAGAGATAGGGACGCACAGCTGACTGCAGCCCCCTTTGTCTGCGGAGGAGCATCCTGCAACAATAAAAATAATAGTCCTGCCAGTCACTATTACAAGTACAGGGAAGGTGCAGCCGACAGTATGTCATTATTGTTTTAATATTTATTTCCTCTTGTTGCATTGATTCATGTAAATAACTTTAAAAGGGCAGTGTGGTGAAGGCCATCACGTGTCACCCTGGCAACACATCCACCCCAGACAGTCCTTGGACACACAACTGTGGTGTTCTTGACCAGAACACAGACACACTGAACTGCTCTGCGGGCACTTAAGTGCCCCCTGCTCTGGTGTGTGCCACTAACAGTGTGTTTGTTGTGTCCACTATTGTCATGGATCAAACTCTGAGGAAACATTTTGTGTACGTATATGTACATGACAAATAAAGCTTCTTCTTCTTCTCCTCCTTCTCAGAAAAAAAAAAATTGTCCCAAAACAAGGAGGGACACAGTTTAAAGGTGAGCAAATTTACTAAGCATGCAACACGGTTCGCCTCTCAAGGATGAATGGATCCCTCCTCTTCATGACACTTGATGCTCTCTCTGTGCTATGCGGATCAATCTCTCCTAAACTAAGAATTGTGTGATAGATTTATGTATTTTTAAACCTGCGATTGGCAGGCAACCAGTTCAGGGTTACCCCTACCTATTGTCTGAGGACTGCTGGAATAAGCTCCAGCATGCCTGTGACAATAAGCGAATTAGAAAATGGATGGATGGATAGGTAGATGGATTAAAAAAACTGAGGGACTGAAAAAAGTTACACTTTGACTGAACCAAACCTTAACTGGAAACCTCGGCCTAACCTTAACTACCGTATCCCAAACCCAACCACTAATCCTCAACCTACCCAAGACTTAAATCTGACCCGAACAAGTGTACGTCTTGCACAATAATACTGCTGAATGCCAAACATTTTAGTTCACCATTCTTTCTCATCGGAAGATTTATTATTATTTTTTTAAATTCTTTATGTATTCTTTTGATTTCATTTATTTTGTACTGATTCATTACATAGAATGAATTGGTACCTGTACAATCCTGTCCATCTTCTTTTAACACAGAACCCTTTGGGCAAACACACACGGGACCTTCATCTGTTGCTAGGCAACCATGACCACACTCAGTGGCATTGCCTTCACAGGTCATGATCTCTGATGAGAGGAAATGAACACATTCACAAATACAGAAATGATACATTTCATAAAGCATACATGACTTGCATTATTATTATTATTATTTTCTTTTTCTACAGCCGGGTAGCTATTGCTCTAACTAGCCTCAAGCTCTTACTGTATGAAAAATCCCTTTGTGAAGTCATGTTGTAATTCTATAGAAACAGGTAAAAATGTGGTGGGAATCAGTCAAGGATGTAATCTTAGCTCGCACTGGATGCGGACAGAATAAACATAAGAGTAATTCAGTCGTTGCTTTCATATCCACAGTGGTCTTTTGACTTGTTAACATGGCAAAGGTCATCTGCTAAACAGCTGAGACTTGACAAAGCCACTGGTCAAATATGGCCCCCCATTACAGGTGTGACTTCATTGTTGTTCAGTGTTTTTGTCTATGGTAAACATCATCATTTATGATTAGGAGATAAGTAACGGCTCTTAATGCACCGCATTAAATGACTGAAACTCCCAAATGTGCTCAATTTCTCATATTTTTATATGTGCACAGTCAGTGTTTTGTCCCAAATAAGCTAACAAGCAATGGGTTGCTCCTATGTAAGAGGGCAGTCTGGCGTTTTTATTGACTCAGTGGGGTTAAGGATGTGTCTGCAGGGCAAATGTTACCTCAGCAAGAAAAGTGGCTGGGAGCTAAATGACACAGACCAAAACAAGTCTGACTTCAACTCACAAGCAAGCCATACATACTGTACACAAGCCAAAAAGTGTCCCAACACTATACCTCGGCATGTTTTTTTATCTGGTAGAAGGGCATATCCGTTGGGGCAGGTGCAGAAATAAGAGCCTGGGATGTTCTCACAGCCGAGAGAGCAGCCATGGTTCCAGTGGGCACATTCATTCACATCTAAGGTACACAGCAGTATTTTATTGTTGAGTGAAAACTGATCCATCTACTGTGAGGCTAAATGTCCAGGACAGCTTTTGCTACCTTGTTAACCAAGGGTAGATCTTGGGCATTGAAAAAAAAGAGTGTCCATAAGTAAGTAAAAGCATTGACTGTATTTCCACTCAGGGGGCAGCAATTTGTTACACTTGTCAACAATCCGTGCATGTGATTGCAGAAAACACATCAGCAAATACCGGCATGACCTACTTAGCACAGCCTAGCTGCCAAATGATGAGTGTAGAAAATCAGTGTGGGGCGGATTTACTCTATGTACACGAAATTAGTCAAACTGTTACATCAAATCATTTGAGAAGCAAAGAATTCACTCACAAATGCAATTTGGGAACTAAGCAGCTCACAGAAAATGTTCTTGGTTGGGTGCGTAGGCACTCCAGATACCTGACTATTCATATGCAAGGTTTTAAATATGTTGAATAATCTTTGGTGTGGCATCTTGAATAAAAACCTTACCTTCACAGTAGAAGCCTTGCTTACTGAGAGCAAAGCCTTCACTGCACTGGCAAACTCCTTGCTCAGCTGTACCTGAGCACACATTGACGCAGGTGCCGCTCTGTTCATCACATCCTGATTGATTAGAATTAGCATTAATATCGGAGAATAGTTTCAACTATGAAAACAAAATATATATAGGTTTAGTTCTATGTTAAAAACCTGGAAGCGGCGATGGTGAGTCGGCCATTGGCTGCTTATCAGGATGAACCACTTTAATATCAACTGGGACCTTTGCCATTTGTTTTAAGGTGACTTCCAGATCCTCGCCGCCTGTGTACTTGTTGATTCGTTTTATTGCTCGGGACGCGGCATCTGTGTAATATATGTGCTTGTGGAAAAGGGCTATTCCCAGCAAATCAGACCTGAGCAAACAAGAGAGAAGTGTGAAGCACACAAATAAAAAAAGGAAAGGTATTGGAAATAACCGCAGTGTGTTTACTGAAGGGGCTGATCTATGATGTGTAGAGCTTTGCCGTTGTAGTCTGTGGAGGCGATGGAGCTTTCTCCTTGCAGACCAAATTGTACCCAGAACAGTCTCCTGTCTCTGTGGTCGACGGACAGTGCCTTCAACTGCTGCGAGGTTTCAATCAGTGTCATTTTTGCTTGTCCTGTAACGTCACACCTATGGATACTTGGGCTTATTCCACCGGACAGCCAAAACAAAAACCTGTAAAATTTTTGTCGACTTGCTCATTCAAGAGTGGCACGTACCATAAAATCTGTATGCGTATGTCATGTGTTTGTGTCATAAAAGTTAACTGGTGTTACCGTTTAGTGGGGTCGATCACAATCGAGTTTGGCTGAGTCAAGTGCCTCACAAGAGTCCTTTCGCTTTTCCCGTTTGTATCCATCCTTTTGATTCTGCCCTTTTCCCTGCTCGTCCAGTACACGGCATTCCGAATCCAATCCACGGTGAGGCCCGAAATGTGTTTGTCAGATGAGTACAGTTTCTGCACAAGAAAACAAATGAACGGTTTGGTTCATCCAAAGACAAACCGAATCAGCTTCTTCTAACTGTGTCGCTGATCATTGTCAAAATTGCTGACTGCTTGGTTAAAATGGCAGCAGCATCAAAGGTGAGCTCTTGGACAGTAAAGTCAGAATTTCTAAAAAGCTGGTTACTATACACACATACCAATATTTAACATCTTAAATGATTCTCAAAACATATGGAACCTCACACATGAAGAAAAATCAGTCTTAACATGACCCACACCACAGGATAATCACTCTGAATAATATTTTCCACATGGCCAACAAGTGGGTCTTTGCTGACTGTGAACGGAAGTAGGGGAAAAATGCTCAAATTCAGTCCCATCGTTGAGTATACGTGTACCTCGTTTAAATGGAATGACTGGATTGATCCAAGACACTCCGCTAATCAATAGCTGTGATGTCACCTGTCTGTGCAAGCCTCTCACGGATGACTTGTAGATGATTCCTGTGCGCTTGTCCACCCAGTAGATTTGTTCCTCGCTGAAATGGAAATCAAGCAGAATGGAAGATGCCACCCCAGCAATCAGCCGTCTCTGGTTCTTCCCGTCCAGGTCCATCCTGTGTATGGCTTTACCATGGCCGAAGATCAGGAAGGGCTGCAAAGCTTCGCACAAGGTATTGTTTTCATCAAGGTTGCAGTGGGTTGAATGTTCTAGCCGGATTGTGAATAAAGCCTTGTTCCTTAGCACCGAATGATAGCTTTCCCAACATACTGAATGATGACTGTGGCAAATAAGACTTCATCTATATTCCAGCAAAGTGTCACGAAGAGTTATCGAGGTCACTTCAATGGTGGCAGACATTGTCCTATGCTGTGTTTGCTCTGTTGTTCTATCATGGTAATATCCCTTCGTGCAACCATGGATACTGCCTCGACTCTACGGAATGAAGAAAAACAGTGAGCCATGGCTGACAAACAACATAATGAAATTGAGGTTCATGGGGCAGTCAACATTATTCTTGAATTTGTAGATTGTGTTCATCCAACACTCTGAGAGCACTTGTAGCATTTGTGTGTGTGTGTGTGTGAGGAGGGAAGGGGGGGGGGGGCGTTGGCATTTGATGGCAGTCCACTTGCCTATCCAAAAAGCCAAAGATGAAATTGTCTGTGCTATACAGGCATGTTCAGGGGCACTTTGGGTTAAGATGGAGTTCCCTTCCTGCAATAGCGACTCAAACCAAAATTGTATGGAAGATTGGAATGCGCTGTAGTCAAAGTTATAATTGGGGGAAAAAGCTCTTGTCGTTCATAAAGACAGTAAAGCAATCAATTGTAAAACCGTAAATACGGTGGCAAAAGCATGTCTTATTGTACCACATGAACATATATTTTTACACTGCGGCACACACTAGACCGGTGCCCAACTTTCATAATGGCAAAACCTTGTATGTCAGTACCGTCGTAAACCCCCAGCATTATCTACCTGTCTATCAAGTAACTGATTACATTCCATACTGACTCAAATAGTGGGAATGTACTGTGTAGACGGTTATTCAACATCAATAGCAAGACACTTACAGTATAATTTCAGTCATGAGACACTTTTGTAGAAAACAGTAAAAAGGCTTGACATTTTGCTGCATGCTTTGGATGGGGTATAAAGAAGCTCAATCTGGTGGACAAACCTTTTTACGGCGGATCCTCAGCCGATGCTAGAAATATAAAATAATCAAGTGGAAATTGGTAACTAAACATGCTGGTACTGTCGTAAATCAAGGACCCCCCTCCATTGGCACTTAAAGTTGGGCAATATATTAATGTTAGGGCTGGAACAATACATGCATTTGTATTTGTGTTGTTGTTGTGTTTCACATGGAAACATTAGACAACGGACGGGAAGTTTAACTGTTTCACACTGGCTACTCGTCTACTCAGCAAACGCAACGCGGCTCAGCCTCTGGCCTGTGGACATTGAGGCTGGCAGTACATAATGTACTACAATGCAGTGTGGAACTTCAACAATATAACAAATCAATATTTTTTTGATGGAAATGACTAGAATAAAGTCATGGGGTAATGTTATGACATTCAGGCTTCGGTAGTTGCAGAATACATACACCCGGATTATGAAATCAGGACCCCCCCACCCCCCGCCCAAAAATCCCCAAACAAAAATGACGTCCATGTATTCTGCAAAAAAATAGGACTATAATTCTCAAAAATATGCCTTTTGTTCTCCATTCGTGCATTGATTTGTCATATTCATGTGAAATATCCCCATTGTTGTATCCGAGCTTTTAATTGGCCCGAACCTAAGGTAGTGATGATTAATTGGTTTAATATGTTAATATGTTTGATTGCCACTATGTCGGTACAATCTTTAAAATACCTCAACAAAATTTGTTGCAAATTGTTTTTGAGACCACCAAGCTACGGGGGTCCCTCGACCTCAGTTTGAGAGCCACAGCATTTGATAATGCAAGTGTACCTAATGAAGTGTCCAAAGAGTAAACATTTAAACCAAAACCAAAACATGTCTTAGCATGCCAAGCAGATGGACTATCAATGCTGCTTTTTAAAATCCAAGACATTTGATGGTGAAACAAACTCACCAACGCAACTGCCGTTCCTGCCCGCCCGCGTCAACTTCTCGTCCCAGCATGCCGTGCCCAAAGCCAAGGTGCCACTATTTTGCACCGTGAGATAGATCAGCGCCGCCGTGAGTGTCGCAGCCAACATAATCCTGTTCACTTTGCCTCAGGCATTCCCACAACAAACACCAGCCTGGTAGAATTTCCCCGAGCCAAGCAACATTCGAACCGTTTGCATGTCACCCAGTGGTGAGAGGCTCACAAATGAGGAGTTCTCAAGTCTCAAACTAAAGATGCTAGAAAATAGCGTGCGTGTCCTGCACATGCCCCGCGTCAGCCCCCATGCTGCCAGTCTGGAAGCAAAGATTGAAATTCCTGACACCCCCTTGGTAAATTTTGCACATGCAAGCCCAGCGCTAGAACGAAACCTCCTATAAGTCAGTGTCCCGGGCAGAATGTGGAAAATGCCAGCAATGAGGTTGGGCCCTGTAGAGAAGTCCCACACAATAACAATTTGGCCTCGCACCTCCCCCCTGGGAGACGTGTCCCTTCTCCATGTAGATTCCTGATTGTCTGGGAGAGTTAAATGACAAATCAGTTTGGTTTTTAGGGTCAAAGTCTATCAATGAATCCATCTCCTATCGCGTTTGTCCTCAGAAATGTCACCAAAGGTGTATATATAGGGAAATAATGATGATGTCGTCACAACTGTACAGAACCTATAGTTGTTTTGCATATCACTTTTCGTCACTGGCATGGATATATGAACACGGATGCATCCACAATCACACACATCAATTGTGTCTACAGTAATCTTGATGTTTAATGAACACAATGTATCTCCATTCCATCCCCCATTTTTTCTATGTTGTTTTTCCTCATTAGGGTCTCAGGTTAGCTGGACCCAAACCGAGCTCTTATTGTTATTAATTTATTTATTTTCGGAAAGAAACGAGAATATATAATCTATCCATCCAGACTCCATTCATCCATGTTGCACTCATAAAAATTACTTCATTTCAACTCTGGACACGTTAGTTGTGGTTTTTGCCATTTAGTGGAAGGGTATTCAAATTTTTCTGTCTGTCACTGTAAAGAGATAAACACAGATCATATATCATAAATACAGTGTTTAATTATTAGGTGACCAGTTAAAGGAAAATGGATAACTGTTTGGGAAACACTCTTTTCGGGTGTAAAGCTCAGTCCTCCAGAGGGACTCAGAGTCGAGCCGCAGGTGAGGCGGCCAGGTTATCCGTTTAGTATGCCTCTTGGATGCCTCCCCGGTGTTCCAGCCTTGACCCAATGGGAGGCGACCCCGGGGAAGACCCAAGACACATACTGGCAAGATTGTTTCTCGGGAATCACCTGGAAGTGGCTGGGGAGAGGGAACTCTGGGCTTCTCTGCCTAGGTTGGTGACCCCCGCAACCTGGACCCCAGAAAAGTGGAAGAAAAATGATGGATGAATGGATTTCTATTCTTGGTTCAAGGATAAAATGGAGTGAATCCTAGCTGACTGTTTGGAGAGCGAAGCAGATTACACCCTGGCCTGGTAACCAGACGATAACTGAGACTTCCTCCATTTGTTTTTACCCCAATTGTCTTGCGGGTGTGCTTGAGCCTATCCCAGTTGACTTTGGCTGAGAACAGCGCCCCAGAATCCTGGGCTGGTCACCAGACAATCGCAGAGGACATATTGACAAACAATCATTCACAATCACATTCACACCGATTGACAATTTGGAGAACTCACTGATCCGAGGATTTTTGGGGAGTGTGCCAGGAAGCCAGAGCACCCACAGAAAACCCGTGCAAATTCCACACAGGAGAGCCCGACCCTGAGATTTGAACCCTTGAAGGTCAGAACTGTGAGATAACCGTGTGAACCACCAGGGTCAAAAATTCAACTTTGGTAAACTCCAACAATTCCAACATGACATGCACTTCCTACTACCACAGACAATAGACTGTTTTTCTGACACCAGCGTGTCAAATAGTCCCCGAGGTTCATCGCTCCCTACCCGGAATGAGTAATTTCGAGAGAACGGCATGGGCTCAGCGCATTATCCCTAATTGTTTGGGGAACAAGCAGCAAATGTCATGGAGCAAACGCTCTATTCATCGCCGTTGTGACTGCATGTCATTGTCAGCTCCCGAGTCACCAGTAACTTCGTAGAGCGGCACTGGAAGATTTACGGAGCTCAATTAGTCCTTTAGTCCAGCAGAGGCCCAGGCAATGACCTTTTCTCACAATTCTTCTTCCTCCTCTCATGATAGATGACGAACAATGAACGCGGTAATATGTTAGCTCCGTCTCACCTTTAAGCTCTTTTAGCCATCACTGCAGTCTTCTTCATCATTCTGGGAAAGGCTAAAGCCACACTGTTCAGGTCAAACAAACCTTTTTCATTGTTACCAGAATCCCGATCTTTATGCTCCCTTGCTCAGGGGTTTTCAAACTTTGTGGGTCCAGGGAGCACTTTTTTCCTGAAAATATTTTTCCTCTCATTTTTTTTTCTGATCATACCAGTCCTGCGTTCTACTGTGCACTTTTTATTCTTCAGCAAACACACAAGTGACCTCCAATTACTTTTCTTCTCAAAAGACACTAGTTTAGCTGTACCGTTCTAATGAATTTCACTAATCCTCTCCCCTTTAATGTCATCATAGGTTACTTTGTCTTCGTACTTGAGTTATTTGACAACATTTCAGCTGCATTTCATTTTATTAAAACAAATGTACATAATAGTCTTGAAAACAAATATATACATAAAGACAAAAAGTGGCAACCTTTCATCTGAGTCACATTTTATAAACATTAGTCAGGTAAGGCATCCTTGGATGTTGTGGGTAACAAGAAATGGCTACGAATAAATGACTTGACTAGTGTCGCATATGATATTCATATCTAGTGCCTAATTTTGGCATTGAATATCACAAGGAAAAAAAAAACACACTTTGCTTGGTATTATGCGCCAGTCCACCAAAGTTCTTGGCTTGTTGTGACACTGTCTGAAAATTTTAAACAGATATACTGTAAGGCTACAAGATGGATAAGGGCATGCATAACTATCTCAGTCAAGCATAGGAACAAACCTGTGGGAGCATTAAAGGGTGGTTTCTAAATTGCAGCAGTGAATCCTTTTCCTCTTCATTTTGCAGGGGTTCTATTGGTTACGCTGCTTCCAGTATGTTTACATTCAAAATGTTGTCTAATGCGATTTGAGCCTCTCTGCATTGCTATGTCATTCTAATCTGCCGAGGAACTTCAGAGTCAGTTGTGCTGGTAAAATATAAGAATCTCTGGTGTGCAATGAGTTTTATAACATTTTTCTATCATCTATATGAGATAATTATTGATTCTGCAGATGACTTATGTGGCACAATTGCATTTTTGTGTGGTATTGATGGTGACTATAATTGCAATGTGATCGTGGTTCTATTAAGAGGTGGATTCAGTTGGATAAATCCCCACTGAAGGCCCAGGTCACAAATGTACGGCCCACCACTGCTAAATCTTTTAAAGTGTATGTGTTTTATCCTCTCCATGTTGATTTTTTTTTCAATGGTTTATCATAGGCATTTAAACACATGTGCACTGGTATCAGCAGAGATACTCGGACCGTGAACTATCACTCTTGTAGGTCATCTGGGAGTCGATACTTGAGCGAGAGCAGAGCAGCAGTCTTTCCGACTCATGAGTGGGCCTCCTTGCCCAAAGCTCTGTCGGGTGAGGGTTCATGGTCCTTTGCTTCATGTTGATGGTCTCGAATTTGACATAGCTCTCCTTCTCCAGCTCCTCTTCATCCGGAGTGGCTTCACTCGCCTTGTAGTAGAGGGCGAGGATCTTGTAGAGCAGCAGGCCGATGAGCGGCAGCGCCAAGGCGCAGGCAATACCGCTGATGATGATGAAAAGCTGGTTCTGCCCTCCCTCCTCAAAATTGTCCAGCGTGTAAAAGTCAATGCAAGGGTCCTTTGCGGCAGCACTACCCTTGGCCACGAGGCAAACCGAGTATCTTATACCAGGTGAGAGTTCCTCCAACAGAATTTTGCCACTGCCTGCATTAGTCTCCACTGTTCTTTTGTAGTCATCCTCGCCATCTTCGCCATAAGGGGAATAAACAACGGTGAGGGGAGAGTTCTTGGGTAACCCCTCTGCCTTCCAGACCAAAACCGCACTGTCAGATGTTTCATCCACAATCTCCAAGTCTTTGACCAACTTTGACGACTCGCTTTTCTTACTTTTCTCATCCGACACAAACTTTCGCCCGCCACCGCCTTGCTGGATCTTTGCGGGCTTAAGCGAACCCCTTTGGATACTTGAAGATGTCTTTGGCTTGGCTGAGAGGGCCACTGCAGTTGTCCGGGCCATGGGAACGGTCGAGGTGAAGATGGTTACATCTCCTCCAGGACTGTATGTCCAGCCTGAGCCTGTTGGTCCCGTCCCAACATCGGGCATCACCGGAGAGATAGTGGTGCTCATCGTGCCGGCCACTGAAAGGGATATGGTAGCTTCTGCTGCACCAGCGTCATTCTTGGCTCTGCAGCTGTAGTCCCCAGCATCTTTGTGCAGGATCCCATGTACACTCATGATGGACCATCGGATGCCATCCCCTGGTGACTCCTGTACTGTAGAGCCAAGCAAGAACTGTCAATATGAAGACCCAGACACCTTTTGTGGATTTCTTTTCAAAATCTATCAGGAATAAACCACTTGAACATCGATCCTTCCATCAATTTTGTATACCGCTTGTCCTGTTCAGGGAAGCTAAAGCCTACAGCCCCTTTTCCAAAGTTTCAACCCAAAAACAGCCTGGTACCCATCCCTCACAACCTCTTCCAACCTGGTTCTAGAAGGCAGGCCGAGGTGGGCCGTGCCATCACTGGCATCTGACTGGCTGTAGCCATTTGAGCCAGCTGCCACCAAGTCATAAAAATGCAATATATCCAGTCCACTTATACAGGGCATTACAACGATGCTGAACCATATTTGCAATTTCAAATGTACCAATGTACGAAATAGGGAAGGTTGCAGTAAAAATGTTTGCAAGCGGCACGTACCTCAATGGGTCCTTTCAAGTGAATGAGAACGAGCCCCGTCTTTCAATTTATTATATTCACACTTTCGTCTTTAGGGCCGCAGCACATTGCACAATGTTAGTCAAGGAACATGAAGGTTGTTACAGAAAGAGAACATGGTATGTAATAAAAACAACAATGGCGAAATTGTATCTTGAAAAATGTGACTCAATTTCATTCACTTGAAAGGACCCATTCAAATGAATGGAAACGGCGATGTGTGCACTGCTCAAGACTTTTACCACAAGTTTCAATTTGTTTCACCGCAGCAACATATGAAATTGTAAATATGGTTATGTGTTGTTATAAAACATAATAAATGTGTGTGTGTTTTTTTTTTTTTTTTTTTTTATGGACTGTGATTTTATGCCTTGGAGGCTTTTTCTTGCTTGCTCTCTTGAGAGCCCGAGCGAGAACAGGCCATTCTAGAACCTGTAATAGAAAGCAACCTATCCCAGCTGGCTTTGGTCAAACGGTGCACTACACCCTGGACGAGTGACAACTCAAATAGTCGCCATACATAACAGTATCAAAGACTAAATGTGGCTTCATACCTGTGTTGTTAACTAGTGATCCATCAGACCGAGACCAGTATAGGCTTGGTGTCGGGTACCCTGTTGCGTCACATCGCAGGAGAACATTACTACCGAGCGGGGACGTGATCTTGGTCGCAGACGTCATGACCGAAGGCTTGACACAATTGTCGAGCTCGGCGCGCTGAAAGAGGACGCCATTGAGGTTCTCGGGTGCGCTGCAGGTCAGGAACAGGTCCATCAGAATGACGGGTGTTACTGCCATTTTGGATATCTCGATTAACTTGGATATCTTGCAGTCACAAAACCAGGGGTTGTCTTGGAGGCCTGGAAATATGAATCAGGAGAATCAGGTTTTCATTGTATATATCAGAAATGCAGACAAAAACACCAGGATAATTTTCATGTGATTGGGAAGTTGTTTGACTTTTTGTCTGTTTTGTCATTTTCACCCAAAAATAAATAAATAAATATGTTGCTGGCATAGATAGATAGATGAACAAAAAGACATTTTTTCCAGTAAATAAATAATCTCCTGACCAGATTACATGAAATTGGCTGATTTCCCATTGCACATCGAATGATCTCTCCTGATAATGGTTTGCAATCACTGTTGTAGCCTCATAAAATTAGAGTTCAAGGGTTGTGTATCAACAGTATGCTTCTATGCAAGGCCCTGTTGCACACAATAAGAAAACATGTACCCAGTGCATATCAAATCCCTTTAAACAGATTAGCTGTCCTAACAGTGTCAGCCAGTGTATCTAATCTGGCCCTGGCCTTTATTTGGTGTGCGGCCACTCACCACCCGCATCAATAGATTACAGCATTTCCGTGTTAAAATTAAGTGAAAAGTAGCAGTTTGATCTATCAGCATGAGTGATGCCATTGTTGCAGAACATTTTACTCAGTAACAACGAATGAGGCGCTATTGCCTGTTAGAAAGATGATCTTTCCTGCCTATGCCATGCAACACTCCTTTGAATGTAGTGTATTACAGCAAACAGCCATTTCATGCTCTGGAATCGAGCAACAAAGGGATGTATAACGTTATGCCTTCACTTATTACAAGCTATACACAACAATTGTTTTGGCATCTATGATCCTGATCAAAATGCATTTGTAGACAATCAAATCTTGGGACACTATAGATGTTTTTCATTCATAAGGGTGAATCTGAGTGGGGTTACAAAGAAACGAAGCATACCACTTCTCCGCTTAATGAGAAGGATAAATTAACCGTAGACAATGAGCTTGAACTGAGCAGTCACTTAATTAGAATTTGCTAAATTGATCGTGCCTTGGCGCTTGTAGGTTTGGGTAATTAGAACCCATTTGTCTATCTTTGTCGCAGTCTGATGGAACCAACTGGCTGATGTAATTAAGACTGACCTGTCCTGATTGTGACACAATCCTTGGTACTCACCCAGCACCACCTTTTGGGAAGCATTTGATGTGACTGGCTCGCCGTTAAACGGAGGCCAAATATCCATGAGGTCCGAGGGCAGGGTTGCTAATTTGTTGCTGGACAGATCCAAGTACGTAAGCTTCTCCAGGTAGGGAATGGCCTCAGCGGGAATGCTGGTGAGCCTGTTGTTGTGCAGGTCCAAGGTCCTCAACAAGGGCATCTCCTTGAGGGACTCCCACGGGAAAACAGAGATCACGTTGCCATCCAGCCTCAGCTCGTGGAGCACTTTGAGGTTGTAGAAACTCCCCGTGTCCACCGAGGTGATAGAGTTGTATGTGATCCACAGGTAACGGAGCTCCGTCAGGTAGTAAAACGCTTCTGTCGGCACTCGGCGGACGGCGGTCTTTTCCACCCGGAGCTTGACGGTGTCCACCGGGACATTGACGGGGATGTCGGACATGTCGGGGTCATTGCAGAGCACAGACCTGTGAATAGATGTTTAAATACGTAAGTGGTTGAAACCTGGAGGTGGGAAAAGTACACATCCTCTGTACAAGTACAGAGACTGGTATAAAGTAGACCGGTAAACGTAGAAGTACTGTCAATGTAGAAGTGCTGCCTGTTCTAAATGGTAGACTAAAAAAGTGCAGACTCTGAAATGTACTCTAGGACAAAATTACTGTCAGTTACATACAAACCAGGTTTTGATAACTTGACACAATGAAGAGCAAAAATTGTGATACTGTGTATTTAAATTAAGACTATGCTGGCAAAGCATACCTTGGCTAACGTGGGGAAAAAAAATCACATGAGCCAATGATAACAACAGAAATATATGCCTTGAATCTGTTGGTTTTCCACATTAGTAACATAACACCATAAGTGTGTGTGTGGCTTTTGAACTGGCACTAGACACTGAATCTGTTGACACCTTCATTAATGGTGTTGTTTCCGCCTTATAAGAACCCGAGATCTCAGTCAATTAAGCTCTCACCATGGGGTTGACTTTACTTACTCTTCTTACATTCTTTTTTTTTTTTGTTTTTACGTAATGTCATGAGCCACAGAGTAAGTAACAGTAATTTTGACAAAGGAGTACAAAGTACAGAAATCAGTTTGGAAATATAGTGAGTAAAAGTAAACAGTCATCAGAAAAATACTCATTTGAAATCCAGATACCTGAAAATGTTTACAGATGTACACCTAGCAAAGTGTTTACTTCCAAGCACCACTGAAATGCCAAAGCAAGACCAACTGTATGACATGCAAGTACAAGCACCCCTCAGCCCACGTACCGTTACTGTTTTATCATCTAGAGGATGATTGGCCCATGGTAATGTTATGATCGTCATGAAAGATAAAATCATGTTTTGGTTTGTTTTTTTTTAGGATTTCCTTTCATTTGTGTTCAACCTTCTTGTTAACAAACTTGTGAAAACATGAACATCTGAAGAGAAGTAATAGTACCTGGTTCCCGTTCCATCGCTACGTCCATGGAAAACACAAGTGCACTGGGCCGGACAGAAGGGACAAGCCGTGTGAAAGCAGCAGATCAACACAAACGTCCTGAGGATTTGATGCATGATTTCAACAAGAGGACTACAGTCACTTGGAGGACGGATCGGGAAAAAAGACATCGGGATTCATTATTAGTTCCAAGGATTCCTTCCAAAAAGCAAATGGACAAGACAGAAAAGCGCTTTCAAAGTCCATAAGCGTCGACAGCCTGGCGATAGACTTACCGTGCAGGTCACCTGTGAGGTGCTAATCGCACTCCCCCCCAGCCTTGCCGAGATTAGCTGAGGATTTCGTGGAGTTGTAAGGGTCACGCAAGCTCGGCAGCAGGCCCTATAATCGTTAATCAGCCACTTCCAGAAAGGGTTCCCCACCAGGCCTTTGGAGATCCCCCCTCCATTTTTTTAAAATACTATATACATGTAAGATGTGTGGTGCCATGTTACAATAAACACACTTCATAATTCAGAGTTTAGGAAGACCTGAGGATACAAATCAATACTGTAAATGGCCAAGCCAAAATGATTCCAACGACTACACCTCTAAAGTTGCACTTTTTTTTCTTATGCAAGTATAACAGGTCAAATATCTTATGTAGGTAGGTATGTCTTAATAGGTTGAATTAAATAGAGTTTTAAATCAGGCACAGGCAAGTTTAGGTCCCGGATTTAAGGCTCTACCCCAAAAGGTAGCTTAGGCACAGGCACTGATGAAAAAAACAACAACATGTATTTTTTGTTTTATGTGTTATATTTGAATGTGCAGTAGTTTTTGGTTAGGGGTTCAGGGTTATAATTAAGGCAGAGCTTGTGGAAAGGCTGTTTTTTTTGTTTTGTTTTTTTTTTGCGATCCAGGTTTAGTGTCATAATTATGTTTTGGTTTTGTGGGTTATAAATGCATAAGCCATACTTGTTACCTTCTCACAGGCATATTAATTTTTTTTCGTTCCTAGAATATCGAAAATATCATGTTTCTGTTCTTCTGTAAATACACCTGCTTTAAAGTGTGAAGGGAGTTGATAAACAACCAAAGTGTGAATCTTGTCCATGTGTCATGTGCGTACAAACATTATGTCTGGCAACAGAGTGCAAGTTGGGTAGACAGGTGTAATGTAACTTGATGCATAAAAAATGTCAAGGACGCATCCTGAAATTGAATAGGAAGTTAGACATTTTAGTTTTCCAGGGTTCATACTGTGACGAAATCTCATTAGGGAATTTGCCCAAATGAGCCCCAACTGGAAGCAGGTGTCCAAGAAAGATGAACGACAAGATGAATGGTTACATTTTTTTTTGTTGTTGCCTGTACCAACTTGGATGGAGCTTGGCGTTAAATTTGTTGATCATTCTCACCCAAAAAAAAAAAAATTCAAAGTTAGTTGTACAAGTTGGTTATTGTGTCTAAAACCTTGCATTTGCACCGTACAGGAGACAATAGCGACATCCAGTGGTTCATAATGTAGTTACTCATTTTAAAAGGGCCATCAACCAACGCCATCGCCTCAAGTACACAAGTGAATTTTATTTATGCGAGCAAATTTGATCATACAGGTCAAATAAGCCACTTCAAGCTGTTGGCACATGGATGGATACCAAACAAATTCATCTTCCCCTGGCCCTTATTTTCATGAAAAGCTGGCTACGAAGCATCGGTAGTGAAAGTACAAAAAGACAAATACAAGGAGAAAGCCGATAAGAGAAAGAGAAAGAGCGGGCTCATTACATAGTAAGCAATATCAGTACACGAATTAAGCTTTAGGACGTTTCCTCATCACAAACTAAATCACAACTCAAACGACTACGTCTCTACATCAGTAGCATGAAGAATCATTAAATGGAAGGTTTTAGTACTGCACGTTGAAACAAAAGGGCTGGTCCAGCAAGACAGGCAAAAAGTGTCAAAATGTTAACCAAAAATAAAATAAAATAAAAAATAAATAACAATGTGAGATAAAAGTAACTTTTAGAGTCAACCCGACTACTGTATATGAATGCATGTCCATGCCACAAATAACATCTACAGTCACAGTCTTTACTAACAGTACAATTTTCCAACTGAGAGCACAGAAAATAGTCGTATAAGTGAATGAAACACTGACAATATTGGATTTTTTTCCCCCAACAACCAATCAGCTGTCAGATATCTTCTCCGACGATTAGTGTTTTCTTAAAGAAGACATATTATGGAAAAATGGCCTTTCAATTATTTGTGTACACATAATTTGGTCTCTGGAGTACCTGTTCACTCATCAAGTGTGAAATTAATCAATAGTTAAATTCTGTTTGCTGAGAAAATTAGAATGCACGTAAACCGTTCGGAATTTTGCCAGATTATGTAACAGCACGGCTAATTTACATGATTCTGCCCCTCGCAATTTTTTTCCGTCCATGACTGAAAATCAAGCGATACCAATATCAAGTAGAAAATTGTGTAAAAATGCTTCGTGGATATTTTAACCCAAAAATGTCAGCAAGCTTTTCTGAAGACACCTGGGAACTAACTGTCTAAAATTGTGACCACACTGCACAATATGTCTCCTCTAAGTGGACCAACGTTCTTATCTCACCATAACTCTAGTTGTAGTGCTTAACCACACATTGGAATGCTTTGATATATCACTATATACAGTTTAGAGTCTGCAGAGAAAAAAAAAAAAAAAAAACAACTACATTTATTCAAACAACAACATTATCAGTCATAATCATAAACACTGACTTATGAGAGCATGTGCTTTAGTGACAGTGGAATCATTCACAGTTCAGAGATTCATATATGATCCCTTCTCGCAAATTTAATCCCATTAATACATTGTGTATCAGTCCAAAAATAATTTCCCTGTTCAACAGGCTTGGCACACCTAGCGAGTCATTGATAGATTTTGGTATTCATTGTTGTGTCACTATTTTTTTTCCTTAAAATATAAAGTCGCTACTGTATTGTGATTTGTGATTTTAATCCCTGGCAAACATTTTATTGTGTGTTTTATTTTTTATTTTTTCCCTGGAATACATCAGTCGTTCACATACAGTACATCGATATCACACATGAGATGATAAATGTGCTTAAGAACCTTTTTTGAAGCCCCTGTTGACCTCCTCGTGAAGCAATAATAAATTACGTGTCAACCTAAAACTCAACAAGACATATCTTAAACCTCCTGTGATATTGCGGGTCGAATTGACCGATTTTAACATTTAAAAATTTGTGTACATTTCTTTCAAAAGAAATGCAAAAAAACAAATTAAATAAAAATTATTTTGCTGGCCTGATTTTTTTTTATTAGTTTTTTTTAAAAGAAAAATAATATTTAAACAAGCAATGGGTCACACTGACCCTTGAAAAAACACGGTGTTTCACAAACAAACATATCAGAAAGACTCAAACAAAGAACATTCCCCCCTTTTTATTGTCTGTTGTTTTCATATTTTTAAATTGAAGAAATGTGTTTGCGGGTCACACTGACCTGTTCAAAACAAAAAAAAATATATATAAAAATGTCGATCAAAAGTTTTACTCTTATTTTGCTGGCCTTATTTTTATTTTCTTCTCTTTTTAAACTTATTTTTGTTTTCAGTAACTAAACATATCGTGGGGGTAACAATGACCCATGAACATTTTGGGTTTGCCAAACAAACCAAACAGCATGGTTATTTTCTTTCAATTTTTTCTAACAGTTTTAAATTTATTCCATATTCCACCCCCATTTAACATTTTTAAATATGCAGTGGGTCACATTGACCCGTGAGGAAACATAACAGGAGGGTTAAGAGGACGGGGAAAAAAGGCTCAGCAAAATAATTATTTCACAAGCAAAAGCTTAAAAAATAAAAAAAATCCACTCCTAGTACTATTCGTGATTCTACAAACGGCACTACAGCTACTACTCAACACTAAACGACTGTTCTCATATTTCAACAACTGCCAGAATGATAACAAACACCATCCACGAGAGAGGTAAGGGGGCTTCTTTTTTGTTAGCTGAAATGCTGTTTGCGGCTGAGGTGGACCCTCGCCCAAACCACATTGTCATGTGACGCACCAGTGACATTGGTGGTGGTGGCGAGGAAGCCCCTCCCCCGCATCCACCTTGGGAGTGCCCAAGCTTGGCTTTTTATGTATAAGCGTTGAGCCGTTCCTTGGAGCGGGTGGAGTGGATGTCGTGAAGCTCCTGCTCCTCCTTGGACTTGATATCCTCGTACTTCTGCATCCGGCACGCGTCCTTCACGTAGGCCCAGTTGGCCGACAGCACCATCAAGTAGTGGATCTGGAGGGAAATGGTAGAAAGAGAACGCTCATGATTTCAGGATGGGGAAAACAGCCCAATGTCTGTTTTGATAATCTATGATCGGCTGTCCTTAAAAGATTATCCTGAGAGATTTATCCTGTGGTGTGGGGTGTGTTAAGAGTAAAATTTCCTGCTCAGAATAACGTTCGAGGCCGACACTGGTAAAGTCGCGTACAAGCACTAATGAAATACCTAAAGCTAAAATTGAAAAAAAAAAACGTTGATTTCAGGATTACTGTGCGGCTGTAGAGAAGAAAGGCGATCAAACATTCATTTGGGAATTGTATCTTACTCTATTTAGTGTGTTTTTTTTTTTTTTTTTATCTTGCCATCGTGAATGCTGGAGTCACCCACACACGTAAAGAGGGCACTTCCTTGAGTTTATGTGGACCAGAATAAAAAGCATAAAAATACGAGTATAATGTTCCTTTTTGAAATTTACTTGTTCAAATCTGACTTTATTGTACGGCTGCAGCCATCTATTTATTTTATTTTTTGAGTAATGACATTCAAATATATTTTGCAATATTAAACAAAAATATTAACATAATACAATAAAAATGTAAAAAAAATAATAATAATAAATAAAAAACTTTGATGACGCATTTTGAAAGCTCTACATAGAGAAACCAAAAATGCACATGATGCTCGTGGAAAGTTTGATAGCGAGGTTCCATAAACATCCAGCAGACGGCAGCACAATGCCGGCTGTATTCTTGGGACTCGTTTCCACAGCAACGCAGCGCAGAGTGAATTATTGAACCGCAGTGACTGACAGTCTATTTACATACACACTATTTCCACATTTGGTGAACTGCTTTTGCTTGGCACCTGAACAAACAGACTCCACATTTAATTAACATTGTCAGAGGTCTTGATTATACAGTACATTGATAATGTTTTCCAGTTCAATCCCTAATTGACTAATCCCCGATCTGGGAAACTGGATTCCGAATATTTTATGCAGCATCATCAAAACTTTGTCCTTTCGTTAAAATAGCTCCTTGGAAATTACTGTAGGCGTGTGCGCTTGAAACCATCACCTCTCCTTTTTTCTCACTGTTTCCATGACAACGCCACCGGCATGCCAGGCCCCCTCCGATAGAAGCAAAGGAGGCAAACAAACGGCGCCGTTTCACTGCGCAAAAATGCCTCCTCGCTGATTAACGGTTGTCTGCTGCCCGACACTGCCCACCAGCCACAACAAAGAGGTTTGCTCCTTAGTTACCGTCATTTAAAAAATAGCTAGGCCGGCAGACAGACAGACAGTGTAGGTTTTCTTTAGCTTCCTCCCATACTCCAAAAACATGCATGTTAGAGTCACTGAAGACTCTCAATTTTAGACTCCAAATGATCCCATTGGTGTGAAATGTTTGTCGATACCTCCCCTGAATTTGGCCGACAATCACTCCAGGGTGTACCTTGCTTTTCTTGCCAAAAAGTGAGCAGTGACCCTGCAATTCATCAAAAGTCAGCTGGGCTCGGCTCCAGGTTACCCTCGACCCAAGTGAGGGTGAGCGCTACACAGTGTAAAATGGATGGCTGCATTGTTGGTTGATTTTGCATCCACGGTGTTCAAGTGGCAGCTCACCATTGCGATGACAGCGGCTCCTGCTCCGGCGAGGGCGCAGATGAACAGGTGGAATGTCATGTCCAGCTGTCACAAAAAAAGACACGTCACAGCTGTCAATGATTCATTTTGTCAACACACTTTGCAATCTTTTTGTTCAAAGCCGAGAAAGGAGGCGGGAAAATGAAATCACGTTCCTCTGTGTTCATGCTTGACTAAGAAAGATGGATGACATAAACAGCGCACCATTGCTCGTCTGGGATGTTTCAGGGGCAAATGACGGATACATCGGGAGCTAAAGAAAATATGTTTTTGCATAAAAAAAAATAACCAATTGGTGCAGAAGTCATACTAAATGTTCTTGGTGCAATATAGCGTCAGTGTAACATGACAAGATACATTTACAGTTGTGAATCTACAGCTGGCTTTCACCATCTTTTTGGTGGTGATTTTTCTCACAACCGCCTAAAGTATGAGTTTTCCTATTGACAGTTTTCCATCTGACAATCATTCAAGCTCACCTCAGTGGATTCGCACATCTTGTAGAACTTTTCAGATCCGGCACACACCGTCTTTGCTTCACTAATAGCCACGATACCTGCAATGTAAGTGATGTACATTATTGTACTACAAACGCGGCTCCAATTAGATAACGTCAGGTTGACCACCTTGTGGCTAATGGCATGCAAGAATCATGGTGCAAATCCCCAAGGACTTTAGCTTAAATGAGCCATTTAACGTTTTGACGGGGGATTGGCCATCCCTACCGTACTGGCGCGGGTCCAGGCAGAGCGTGGTGCCCTCCAGCACGGTGGCATTTTGGCAAATGCTCCAGATGTTGAAGTAGATGAAGACGGGCAGGGAGGTAAACGCCGTCACACCCAGCCAGGCCAGCATGAAGATGTACGTCAGCATGATGAACTGAAACAACACATTCGCCTTATGCCAAACCACAATGTGCATTTTGTGATTATTTGCACAAAAAAAAAAAAAATGTCCAAAGAAGTCAAGAATGGCTCCTAATACAGTAAACCCTCAGAACGGTCACATATTACTTGAACATCCTTCCTTGATACCAATAACAGTTTGCTATTAGCCAGGGCTTTGGCATCATCTTGTGGCAATTTAGGGTGGTCCAGAAATAACACACACAAAAAAAAAAACATGTTTTTCCAAAGCAAGTAAGGATACGTTCCAAAGAAAAGAAAATGCAAACGCGTGAACTCCAAATAGTTTGCAGGACATCGCAGAATACAACTGAAGTGGCAGTTATCAGCATAGGCCAAGGTCAGTGGCATCAGACAATAATTTTGTCCTGAAATACTGGTAAATATATATCAGCAAGCCTTGCATGTTAAGAGCCCGACTTTGACCTCATTCCCATTCTCCTCAACTTTTTTTCAAAGAACATAATACATGACGGCATCCAAAACTTTTGAAGTCACCAAGTCACTGCTTTTCTTTGACGCTGGTGTGGAAAATGTCGGATATTTTGACGCAGGTGCAAAAAAAAAAATAAAAAATTTGCAGATTGATTTACCCTCGAAAACCCCCCTAAAAACATGAAATTAATGACAGATGAAAAAAATTGGTTCATAATACAGTTTAATGTATTATTTCCCAAATGGGATGAAGTATCTGCTATATTGATCTAAATTGTATTTGCGCAATAAGGTTTTTTTTTAGCTTTAGTGTAATGAAATAAATGACCTAAGCACTATGACAATAGAAATAGAAACAAAGAAAAACATTCTCATTGGACAATGAGCACAAATCCTGGTGACTTCCTCTTCCTCCCATGCAGAGCGCTGCAGATTGGCATTCTAATTTCACAATTGACATAATCTCGTTACATGTCGGCTCCTCCATACGACATTTTTCATTATTGTCCCATCCTGGTAATTGAATGATTTGGGCCGCAATGTAATTATGAAGTGAAACACATTCAATACCAACGTGGCGTTACTTTGTTCATTTTCTACTCATTTTCTCCTGGATCCGATGGATAAGATGCAAATTGTATCCAGTTAGCAACGTTATAAGGTCAGATATGAACATACAGATTTGAAGATTCGAACATTTTCAAATTTTAATAGCCAATGTTACATATTTTCCACATCCACTTTTGAAGCTATACACCCAAACTCACCCAAGCACTGACGCAGCGTCCGCAGGTTGTGATCTTGAAGTCTCCGTAGAGGTCTTTGATGGCCCCGCTGGTGAAGAAGCCCTCCACCATCAGCAGGATGCCATAGACGAAGAAGGCCGAGGCCACGCCGTAGATCACGTACTTAATGATGTCAATCCTGAAAATAGATGCATATAAAAAATTATACGACAGTCAGTTGTCGGCAGGAGAGTCCTTAAACAGTGGTATGCAGTTGGAAAGATCGGAACACCTCTGCCACCTACTGGAGACTAACTGAAACAGCTATCGTTTTTTGATTTTGTTTATATTGAATATCAATAAAAATCACAGAGCTTCATCCTTCAAGGTACAACAAAGCGCCTGACACCCGTTTCACCTATTAACAAGTTATTGGGTGGACATGTCTCTCATGAGATGACCCATGCCCAAAATTGAACAGGAAGTTGTCCATTTTGGTTTGGAGCAGCCATTGCCAGCTGTCTTCAGGCATCAGGCGGGGTACACCCTGAACTGATTGCCAGTCAATCGCAGTGATTAGTTGTCGATTAACCCAATAATTTTGGCACCTCTAGTGTCACATCGATAATGTGTCTAGTTTTTGAGAAAGATGACGTACAAGTTCAAAAGGAAAAATGTGAACCAGGGGTCTCAAACTCCGGGCCTTGAGGTCTGCACTCCTGCATTTTTTTAGATGTTTACCTCCTCCAACACATCTGATTCAAATGATCGGGATCATAATCAGGCTCCCGCAGAGCTTGCTGATGAGCTGATCATAATATCGAAAAAGTGCAGGGAAGCAAACCTCAAGGCCCGGAGTTTGAGATCGCTTTGAACAGTATAAATTATGCCACTTAGACACTCAAAGCACTAATTTCTAAAGAAACCGGGTGAGGCTTTTTCAATGCCACTAGTTGTGTGATATCATTTGAAACAAGTTAGTAAGGTTGATGCGCCTCCCAAAAGCATCTCGCTCGCCTCGACGATTGATAGCCAGAGGTAGAGCTGCACTGTTTTTATTTACCGAGTGCAAGGCACTTGCCCTTCCTGTCCTTTAACTCATACGTTCTGAAGTTGATGCTTTTTCTACTCACATGGTGAAGACGTCCAACGCGTCCACGGGGCTACGGACCACCTCGAAGTAATTCTGCAGGATGGTGACGGTTCCAGAAAGAGCCTCGTGGCCGCATCCGCAAAACAGAGCCACGCCGGCGTACAACAAGATTGTGGCAATGAGCGACGGGTAGGGGATCCCGCCCAGGCATTTGATGCAGCATTCGAGGCACCCTAAACACACACACACACACACACACACACACACACACACACACACACACACACACACACACACACACACACACACACACACACGCAAAAGTGAGTGGGGGGTCACTCCACAGGGACTACAAGAACAGTTGATGCTGCAGCTTCACTCTGGCGGTAAAACACGATTTGGCCATTTACAATCTCCCAAATTTAAAGCTCTGTCGGCGGGCGGGCGACCATGCAAAACAGAAAAAAATCTATCAAGTGGATGGGGAAAGTAGGCCACAGTTCAGTTTGTGGCTGATATATTATGAGTGCTGACAAGTGTATCCTCCAACTATCAAGAGTATTTAAAGCCACACACCATTCAACAGCCAGCCTCATTTTTTCTCCCGCATACCTGCATTGGGCCTTCAATTTGTTTTGTTTTTCTTTAACCCATCGAGACCAGCCTGACATTTTGTACCACTGCTTGGGATTAACACTGCGACCCCAGACCTTTAACCCCATGTTTCTTATATGCCAAGGCTTTCCTGGAGTATGAGGGGTCGGGTTATAAGCGTGGCTAAGCACTGCTTTGCCCTACATTCAATCTGCTCTCCAATAGCACCTGGGGATGTTTGTTTACACGTGTTAGTCTTGATGGTACGGTTACATGGCAATTTGAATTCTTAGTGCCCGCGCCCCCAAATCTGTCATGTTTTGTCTCTGTTTTTCTTTGTTTTGCAGCACCAGCTGGAGTGTAAGGGCGCGGCTCTTCAGCGGTGCAACTGTGTCTTGTTTTCCCAGTCAAGTCTTAGTCAAGTATTTAAGGACTGTCAAGCTCAAGCGATATTTTCTAGACGTCCCGTTCATGTTTATAGGCGCTCCTGTTCCAATAGATTCTTGTTTTGGGTTTTTCCTTAACCTGGATTTTTGTCATTTTGTTTGGTGTAATTTCGGATTTCAAAATTTACCTTGCCTGTAGCAAAGACTTTTTGTTCATATTGGCAATTAATTAAAAAAGAACTTAATTAAAAAAGAAAGATTTTTATGCTGATTAAAACTAAAATAGGCGTACTGATACCAAAATTGCAGTCAGTTTCGTTCCAGCACATCAAGTTTTCTCTCCATAGATTACCCTGCAGATAAGCAAAATTTAGCTGTGGTAAAATGAGCTGTTGGACTCATCTACAGCTATGTGGCAACTGTTTTTTAAATGTATTTATTTATTTTATGAGGCACAAACAAGTGAAATGGAAAGCTAGTATAGAAGGAAATAGGAGGATTAGTGCTGTCCTTTCTCTTAACCTTGTAAACACGGACACAGGTCTGATTGGCAGCTATTTTGTATTTTATGCAAAATCGATGATTGGTCTTAATGTCACAAGTTGCAGATTGACCAATGACAAAATTGATCGTATCTGCAAAATAAGTTGTCCGAGCAAACTTCTGGGATGTTCTGTGCCACGATTGTTAACAATCCAAAAAATTATCTGCACATACCATCAGAATAAAAACAAAAAAATCAAATATTTTAGATGTTCAGGCATCGTCTCCCCCAAATCACAAAAACATTGGTTGAAGATATGTAAAAATCAGGATGTGTGTACTGTATTCACTCATTGAGTTTGTCATATTGTGATGAAAAATAAAAGTTTATCCAATGTGATGATATCTGACATGGCGAATCCATCCAAGCTGAGCATTTGCGGTCTTTTGACCATTTAGAGAAGAAGCATACATCACGGACATTTACATCCTGTAAAACGTGTGTGAAGCCGTGAACGTCTTGGGGATGGGGTT